CAAAATGAAAACATTGAAGAAAAATGTACAAATATAAGAAAATGTAACTCGTGTTTATTGTGCGTGACGAACATAATTTATGAGTTTAATATGTATTCTTTGGAATATAAAGAACACTTCGACGTATACAAATTTTTGTTGACTATTCCTTTAACTCAAACAACCTGTGAGAGATCATTCTCCAAACTGAAATTGATTAAGACGCGATTGAGAAGCACATTAACTCAACCAAATTTAGAGTCAATATTCATCATGAATTGCGAACGTGAATTAGTAGATGAAATAACTAATGACGAAATAATAGATTTCATGTGTGAGAAAAGTTTAGAAATGTTTAGATTATTAAAAAATTAACTGAATATATTTGTTAATTTTGTAGTTTTACATTCAGATTCACATTTTCAAAAATTACATATTATTTTATAATACGTTGCTGAATATTTTGTAAACTTAACTTCTGTATTAGTTTAAAGTATTTAAAATAATTACACTATTGTTCAATTTCACTAATTTATTAAGATTAAATCAGCCATTAAGTTAAAAGTTTGTTTATAGCATTTATAGCGCAAAGGGAGACATTAATACGTATAACTTAAAAAATATATATTATTTTAACTTAAAATTTATGGTAAAGATTTTAAACAAAAATAAAGAATTTCATTAATACTGATGCTAGACTATTTAATCAAAATATTCCCTAAAAAATACACTACTTAAGTCACCATTTTTGGCCTAAATTTTATTAAAGACTTTTTTTTTTTGCTCAACCAGTACAAAAAATCGGGTGGACTCCCAGGAGCTTTCCCGCGAAAGTTTTGCCTATGGGCCCCTTTAACTTGGTTTCCCGGTAAGAAAATTGGTCCCAGTCCGCGCCTGGTTATACCCTTAATATAGCGCACCTAGCCCACGTTTAAGGTCCAATAAAAGGATTTCTTAAGCTTGAGTCCTTAGAACTGTAGTATAGTGGTAAGTATCCCCGCCTGTCACGCGGCAGACCGGGGTTCGATTCCCTGCCGGAGAGCCAGTTGTTACGACTATCGTCGTAGAACGCTAATTAAATGTCACAGGTTTTAGTTTATTACAAAGTGGCGTGAAGCCATATATTGTTTCTTCCGAAAAATAGTCACAACACAAGAACAAAATAAAATATACAATATACTCAATATTTAATAACAAACCGACGGTAAAATCGTAGGTGCTACGAGTTGATTAGGCGTAATATCGATAGATATATATCGTGCGGGGTCACGGAGATTACTTAACGTATATTTGCGGCGGGTCGTAGATGGCTGTGCGGCACTTGCTGGACTTTGTACCGTGGCGTATCGCACGCGGTGTTAGTCAAACTACCATATGCACGTAGTAGGGCTGATAAAGGTGTCACGGGTCGCGGGGCTCCGTGTATAGAGAACGACGCGGGACCGTGTCAGAACATAAACGTGTAAAATTCGGTAAATATTTTATCGATAGATTATTAAATGGAGATATTGATGCCCCACGTTTATTAGAGCAACTTGATATTCTTGTACCCTGTAATACTAGGTTTCAGTGTCAATTTTATTTACCTTTAAGCAGCTCCAATTTTGCTAAAAATGCACCCTTAATTAAGCTTATGCGTGAATATAATGATAATCTTTAGCTTTGTACGGAGATACACTTATTATTACTTTTACATTTGTTAATTTATTTTACTGTTACTAAAACTATATACTGTATGTTTTCAAAAAATCCGACTGGCGTTAATAAATTAATAAATATTAATAGTTCAATAATATGTAATAAGGTTTGTGGCATTTGCCGAGAGCTTATTTTGCTGAAAATTATTTTTAGATTTATTGGTATTGGCGTATTCTAATTTCTAAGAACTAGTCAGTAGCGATTACGTTAGATAGACATAAATTAAAATCACTATCATAAGAAACGCTTTGAAGCAAATCAGTAGATAGTGTTTAATTTTAAGAAATTGGTAGATTATTTCAAAAACAACAATAACTCTTATTCCCTTAATTTTATCCCGATTAGTTATTTGATTTATAATTATTATATATGAATAAATAATAATTTTAGTAATTAAATTTAATATGAAATTGATATTTAATAATTTAATATTATAATTTATACAGAGAAATTATAAAAATAATAAAGTAGTTATATATTGGTTCACTTATACGTGTATAAAAGTTTAAAGGGCTTGATGCGATATTTTTCAATAAAAACTGTTTGTTACTATTAATTAATGCACTGGACTACAAGAAACTTTCATCAGAAATATACTTTTTTAAATCAACTTTTCACGCCGTTTTTAAATCTGAAATTAGACTTTTTCTATCACTTCTAATTTTTGATATTATTACTAATTACATATAATATAATAATTAAAAGAAAAAAAAATTATTTTCAAATAATTACTGACTTTGATTTTTAAATTCTTAAAAATAATCAGTCCAAAATTTAATTTTTAATCTATTTTTTTGATTCTTTAAAGTTAATGAAAAATGTTTGATAAAGATTTGTGAAAATTTATAGTAAAAAAAATTGAACATGTTGCCATAACTTTTTTAGCTTAATTGCAAGTTTGAAATTGACATCATTAAATTGAAAATTTTATGAGAATTAAAAAAATGGTATTTTTAAGATTAATATTGTTATAATTCAAATAACAAAAATTAATAAAATAAAAGTATAGAATATAATGGTGATGGGATTTTGGGTTTTTGTATAAGGTGAGAACCTGATGTTGTGGTTCTATCGGGGTCGTATGGTTCGAGGGTTAAAAAAACCAAGACAAGTAGATATAAAAATAATAAACGCAGTACCTCTGTTCGAGGTGTAATAAACTTTTGTCTGGTTAGTTTCTAATGTCCTAACTAAGAGGCAGGGGCGTCATTTCAGTTTTTCTTAGGGGGGGCAAAATTTTTATCGGCCATCCACGGTGTATTTTTTTTTTTTTTTTTGAAGACTTTTTGCTCAACCGACAAAAAAACTGGATAGTATTTTATGAATATTTTAAAAAATACGTCTTAACGTACTCAGAATCACCCCTAACATTTCTGCGTCCTTGGCGACCGTCTACCTCGCCAACCTCTTTTTACAAATATAAATATTTTTCCAAAACAATTAGTTACAAAACAGTACTTTTATACTAACAGCCTATTATACTTAGTAGTCAGTACAGATGGTTCATTATTAGTAAAAGGAGGTAGTTGTATAAAAAAATAGATAATTTACAGATTTGCAAGCAAGAAATAAAAAATGTTATGTTAAAATAAAAGTACTCATTCAAATAATTGAATAAACACATTATTGACAATGATATGTATGTTAAATGGATAATTAAATGTTTATATTCACCATAGCACCAATAAGAGGATTGAAAGTTGTTATTTTTTGTTTTTATCTAACACACATTTAAGCTCCTATGTTGTATGTGAGTCAGACAAAAACAGAAATTAATCGCTTCTAATCTCCTTAACAAAATAAATAAAATTATTCTTTTTAATCTATGTATATACTCAGAAAAAAAAAAGATAAAACTAATGCTGTCAAGCAAGCTATAATAGGATATATCAATGAAGATAAATAAATAATGTAAGTAATAATAAGATATTATCAACTATATTCAGTTCATAACATGATATACACTAAATACAAAAACAAAAATAAGTATAAACTATTAAGCTCTTAATCTATCTATTAAGCTATCTTCGAGATTTCATGCTTGCGAATATATCAATAGCTTTCTGTAGATCAACTTTTGAAGCTTCATCACCTTCAACAGCAATCACTAGCAAATCACTCAAGCGTTCATCAGTTATTGTCAGTTGTAAAAAATTTTTTATGCGTTTTAAAGATGAAAAAAAGCGTTCATTTGATGCAGTTGATACAGGTAGTCATGAGAATAGAAATAATTTTTAGTGTCTCTGGAAAAGAGTTTTTAATTTCCAAGAAATTTTTTGATATGGAAGAAAGATCATGAACGCCATCTTCACGGCTATTACTTTTGTTTTTAGAAAGTAGGTTTTTGGCAATAAGAAATTCAGATTTTCAGAAAATTCAGAAATTCAAATAATATAGGATTAATTTTGAAGTAACTATAGTGATTCAAAAAAGCTTGAAGATAGGAACTTTTGAAGTTAAAGTAATCAGGATTTGAAGAAATAAATAAAGTACAGGTTAAGAGAATATTGTTATTTGTGTCATTAAAACAATTATCAAGTTCATTAATAAATCTATAAAATAAATAAATAATTACATTGTAACCATTAAAATTGTATTAGAAAATATGATAAACATTATATAGAAGAATTATGTTATGTACTGAAGATTAAAAATTAATTTTTTGTTTATAGTATATATGGAATAATGTCAATGTGCAACCAAAAAGCAAAACAGGTATCTAGTTATATTAGTAAGCAACTATTTCAATTTTCAAATCATAACACATTCAAAATATTAAAGCTATAATAGGACTTACCTATCAATTGCTGAATAAAATAATGCTTTTAATTCATTTGTAGAATTATTCAGAGTGCTATTTGAAGTATTCCCTACTGATGATTCAATAAAGAAGTCTTTAAGCTTTTTATTCAAACAACACTTTCTGTTTGAACTTTGATTAATAGGAATTCCATTTTTAGTATCAATCAATTGCTTATTGTTTCACTCCAAATGTGTCGCTCCGCATTTCACTTAAACTTTGTCTAGTACATTTTATCTAATCAATAGCTGCTGATAAAATAATATTTGAATTTTGCAGTTCTGTAGAAGCACAATGTGTAACCTTAAGTAGAGATTTCATCCCAAACATCATAATAATAAAAGAAAATTTAGATATTTCATTTAAAATTCCGGTTGCCCTAGCTGTTTGATCACCTTCTTTAATAAGTATAGAAAGTACTTCAATAATTTCTGTATATCTTAAATTAATTTTACTTATTGACCTATACCAGTAAGCCCACCTAGTGCCTACTAAACGTTCTAAGTGTAACACTGGTAAATTGTGATCTTTTTGAGCCTCAATAAATAATTCATATCTTGTTTGTCCATTCATCAAAAACTTGTAAATTTCTTGCACTGTATTAAAAAAATTGACAATAAATGGTACATTTTGCAATATTTGAATTAAACATAAATTAAGACGGTGCGCATAGCAGTGGACATACAATGCGTGTGATACTTTACTGCGTATTCGTTCTTGAACACCTATATACATTCCGCTCATAACTGATGCACCGTCATAACATTGTGCTACACATTTGTTTATATCTAAATTATTTTCTGAAATTACTTTAATTATTTGATTAAATAAGCTTTCAGAATCAGATTTAATCATATGGTAACAGCCAATGGATTTTTCATTTATATTAAAATTGTCATCCAGAAACCTTATAACAAAACTCATTTGTTCTTTCTTAATTTATCTTTTGTCTCATCAACCATAATTGTATAAATTCCAAATTTATTAATGTTCCTTAATATTTTTTGTCTTGTGCATTTTGCAATAGTTGCAATTAAATCATTTTGATATTCAAGACTAGTATAATGTCCATACCTGTACTGTATCTTATGATTGAGTCTATCATTGCCAAACATTTGTAAAAGTTCAATAAAATTGCCCTTATTTGTTGATGTATGCGTCTCGTTGTGACTACTAAAAGGTAATCCTTGTTTTGCCAAAAACAGAGTTGCTTTGAGTAAAAAATGTATAAATTCTGATTCTAAATTATTAAACAATGCACTTTCTTTCTTTACAGGGAATATAGATTTATCGATGTCTTAAATTGATGAACTTTCTTTTTTAGGCAATGACAAAAATGATCCTTTAACATTTTGTTTAGTTGACATTACGTCATCATCTTTTTGTTGATACAAATCAAACAATGAAATTAATTATTAATAACAATAAAAGCTGTATAGTAATTTTATTTATTTCAATTTTTAAACTTACGCTTGATAAAGCAGTTGATTTAATAAAAAAATTTATTTTACTCTGTTTAGAATCATTTCCTATATATTTGAGTTGTGCTGTTTTTTTGCCTCGCAATTTTTGCGCTCCGCCTTTCCTTTTATTTAAACTGTTACTCTTTGACATTTTGTATTATTGTTCTTATATTTTATAATTAAGTAGTCAAACTTCAAAACATTTATATTTGTTATTTGATAATAGTTTGTTATAAATAGAGTTATTTATAGCCATGATTGTACAACATCAAAAAACGTTTACAACTTCATAATTTAATCTTTCGACGGTTACGCTTTTTTTGTTATCATAAAAACAATGTGATAGCAGTATGATGGTAGAATTAAAAGTCGTGACAAATACATCATCAATATATCATTCATATTGCATATTCGCATTATTCATTTTATATTCTTCTAATGTTTCTGAGTTTCTTAAAAATGAAACCATCTACTGTTATGAGTCCTGGACGAGTGGCCCACTATGAGTGGAGCCGCCATTTCAGCGGCCTCACGTACCGAAAATTTGACCGGCCCATATAAATCAAGGATGGGGCGAATGCCCCCCCCCCCAATGTCGTTACTGCTAAGTAGTGATGGCAACTTGTTATCAATTTTGATAACTGTTATTTGTTACTTTCAAAATATCAGTGATGTAATTGTTTTAAATAATAAACACTATTAGTAACAATAACAATAAACAATAATAAAATAACTATTTTAAATAAAATAAGAATTTAACTGTTAAGAGAGGAGCAACAGGTAATAATTTATCATAAAAAACTAAAAAAATAATTGTGATAACATAATAATATTACTGTAAAACCAAGGTAGATTCATTAAATGTCAGAAATTAGCGCTCCTAGTGTTGTAAATTTCAAATATGAGACTAAATACTATGCGTGAAATATTGATGACCTTGCGTAATACAAAATAACAGTAACTGTTACTATTTATTCCAAGTAACAGCTTGTTATTGATACTCAAGCAGTAACTGTTATAAATCACTGTTACTGTTATTTTTTCCCATCACTACTGCTAAGAGGCAACAAAACGGCGAAGCCAGTTCACGAATACCTCGGCAACGAGACGGCAGAGTCAGTCCACGAATACCAGAGCCTAACTTATACAGTAGAAATCACACTAGGTTTTTTAAAACATCTTTAAGGCAACGAAACGACAGAGCCAGTTCACGAATACCATATAACGTGATTATGTATAATTTCTGTAACCAACCAGTCAAAATTGACACTTTAAGACAGAGTTTCTCAAAGTGTGGTCCGCGGACCCCCAGGGGTCCGCGAGCACATATCAGGGTTAGGTCTTTAAAACTGTAGGTCTTTAGATGGGGGTCCGTGATTCATTTGACTTTGAGAACCTCTGCTTTAAGATATTAATTTAATAAATGTGTAACGTCACAAATTCGAAGGTGGACCGTTTAAGATTTTTTGTTATGTCTACTTATTTATTTTATCGCGCGAAAGAACCTTTTTCTGACACAGCGGTGTCAACCACTCATTATTTTGCCGCTGACCGCTAGATAAGGCGATAAAAGAGAAATATAATTAAAATCAAATTGTTTATCAGTATTGATCCCTTCCAAAAAGACTGGCCGTTATCGATTTGAAATTGCCGTTAAATTGGTGTTGACTCTTCTCTATTCCTTCATCTGTTATTGACCGTGCTAGGGTGCACACATTTGTTGTTTTATTGACATATTTTTCAATGATGGAGTAGAGCCACCAACAGCGAACGACCAGATCTTTTCGGCGAAGCATCCAGACCATCGGATGGGTCTCTTCGGAGACCGGGTAACGTTTGTAATATTATTTTGATACTTAGTTGAATTCAGACGTCTCGTTGGCGATTGCCAGTGACATGTCGACGCCGCTGAGGCGTATAATAGTTTAATTTTGTTTGCATGGTCCTTACCGTAAAACCCATAAATGAGTTCATACAGCTGCACGTATGAATTAGCAATATACAACGTATTACTTATCATTGTTTGTTTACACAAATCAATTCTCGTACCGCGTTGTAAAGGACATCTTTCTTTTTAATTAAATAACGTATTTCATCAAATAAAATTTTATTACCATGATTCATTATAACAGACCTAAGAGCCCTCTGGGATCTGATCAGCTTTTGACAATCCGTCAAAGAGCCACTTCTATTTTTCCACCTCAAGCGTTCAGACTTAAGTGCTCAACTTCACTCTTTTACTTTGCGGCCTTTTTATCTGTCTTACTTTGTGACTTGGTGTCGTTATTCTTAATATAATTTAATAGTTTAACTTAATGTAAATTCATGTTTGAATGACTATCAATTATAATACATGCTTATATAATAAACTGTTTTTCCATTTATTTAACATCTAATAAATCTAATTCACCTTCTTCTCCTCTCTACACCGTAAAACAAGATTTGCAGTCAAGATATATCAGGTAAGAGTAGTTTAACACACTAACTACAATTAATAGTAATAACTAATAAAAGACACTTTAATTTATAATTTATTATTTTCTTCTTTCGCTTAAATATATCTTCGTTCTAACTTCACACATCTAACGATCCCTTCTATTCATTTATTTATATTATCTAACGGTATCTAACTTCACTCTCACTCTCTCACTCACTTCTCTCTCTTTTTATTGGTTATTACACGTTTTCTTTTTTATATTATATTTATGTAATGAGCTATATTTTATTTCAATTTATTTTATTGTAAATTAACTTAATTTTGTTTATGTGTGGAGAGCACGTGTTTCCATTTTCTTCTAGCCAACGCTAAGCAGCGAGTGTCCAGACCGCTCCTGGTGTTCTTCATTAATTTCCGATTAACATTAACGGATGTGTTCCAATACCGTCCATGATGTTTGTAATATTATTTGTTTGTTTTGTTTAAATATTTTATTTTATTTGTATTGCCTTTATTTGTAGACATGGTTTTNTTATTGCCTTTATTTGTAAACATGGTTTTTGATGCATTCGCATTTTTGTCCATGTTTAACTTAATTTTCTTTTTTTTTTAACAATTAAATTAAATTTCCTTATTAATTTCAACTGTAATATTTATTTTATTGCGCGAGTAACTTAATTACTCGCGTGTATTTATCCCTATTCCTTAATCTAGACACGGGCTACGGTATGTTTTACATATCAACCAAATACAACTTTGATTGTCATAATTGTGTTTAATAAACCATGAGGTATTATAGTAATTTATACATATAACGACATATTAACGTAGATTATACTTTTAATTAACTTAAAATTAAATTCCACCTATGGTCCGGTAATCATATCTGATAAGTGTGACACCTCGCCTAGGTGGTGGCGACCCTTGCTACTATAGCTAGTCGTTATGCAAGTGGCAAACCACGTTGTTGTTACAGGCCGAATTATTAATAAAAAGCCCACTTGCAAATGATCTATTGCTTTGTCATCCTTTACTCAAACTTATTAACTCCAAATAATTGGGATAACATAAAATTACTTACTTCTTTTATTCTTGCAAATTTCTGCGAGATGATTTGATAAATATCTCAATATGTTTATATATAATTAAAAGTATTTAATTCGCACTTCGTCAAAAGATAAATAATTAAAACAAGTTCTTTTCATATATAAATAAAACGCGTAAAAGTTAGGCGACAACAACGCAGGGCTGTGACTGATAATTGTTTCTTTTTTATTCTTATTTTAATTCGGAAAAAGCGAACTCTCTCTCTCTCCGGTCTAAAAGGATTTCAGAGCTTTTTATAGTAAAATGATAGCGCCCTCAAACCAGGAATATTGTTGTTAGCGCTTTTAGTGATCTTTTTAGTTTATTGTATTTAATTATACATTACATGATTATTATATTGAGATAGCATATTTAACAATTGATAATTGACAAATATATATAAATAATAAGAAATTGTGTTGAACATCGTATTTGTTATGACAGATATATTATTTGTTTGTTTTCAAGTTATTTAAAATACAGATTTTACATTTTTCATTGATAATTGTAAGATGCTTAATGCAAAGCATTGAGCATATTACGACATCTTATAGTTTGTAACTAAATAATAATATCAAAAAATATTGGTGATAGAAAAAATTTAATTGCTGATTTGAAATTATGACGAAAAATTGAATAATATAGGTATCTTTTTGACTCTGATGAAAATTGCTTACAGACCATTTATTCATAATTAACAACAAATTATTATCTAAAAAGTATTATGTCAAGCTCTTCAATTTTCATACACGTTTGCCATAAAAGTAATAACTACTTTATAATTTTTTATAAGTTCTCCGTAAAAATTACAATACTAAATTATTAAATATCCATTTCATACTATATTTAATTGCTATATAAATATTTATAAATATATTTATTTACACTTATAAATCAACTACTAATTAGGGATATTGATAGTAATAGGAGTTAATTTTGCTTTTAGAATAATTAACCAATTTCTTAAAATTAAAAACTATCTACAGATTTTCATCGAAGCGTTTTTTATGATAGTGATTTTAATCACTGTCAGATATCATCTATAATGGACCCAACAATACCACATCCTCACTGTACCACGATCCCACTCTGCTGGGTTTTTTATACATATAAAAATTTTTTTTTAAGGGAGGTCGTTACAATGGCGATATTTACTCCTCTACTATATGAATATAGCGTTTGACCTTAAATATAAGCATGTGTAATGAGAAAAAAAACGGTAGCTCAGTGCGGATGAGGCATAGATGGGACAAGTATAGATGATATCTGACAGTGATTAAAATCACTATCATAAGAAACGCTTCGATGCAAATCTGTAGATAGTGTTTCATTTAGAGAAATTGATGGATTATTCCAAAAGCATCATCAACTCTTATTTCTTTGATTATAACCTAATTAGTAGTTCTTTAATTTTAAAATATAATATATGAATAAATACTAATTATAATTATTAAATTTAGTATGAAATTGATATTCAATAATTTAATATTGTAATTTAAACGGAGAAATTATAAAAATAATAAAGAAGTTGTATTTTGCTTTATTTTTACGTGTATAAAAATTTAAAGGGCTTGATACAATAAATTTCAATAAAAACTGTTTGTTACTATAAATAAATGCACTGAACTACAAGGAACTTTCATCAGTAACAAAAACATACCATTCTAAATCAACTTTTCGCGATGTTATCAAATCTGCAATTAGATTTTTTCTATCACTTCTAAGTTTTAATATTATTAAAAATTAGTATTTACATATAAAAAATTCGCATCGAAGCTAAAAAATTGGCTATTTAAGCTAACTCAAATTTAAAAATTACTTTTTCGACTTTAAAAAAGTAAAAAAAAATTAATAAGTTTAATTTCTAATGTCTTATGAACTTAAGTCTTATGAACTTTATTCTATGTCAATTCAATTATATAATATTCATGAAAATCAGTGTATTCCCCTAATAAGATATTTTAAAATAAAATAAAATACAAAACCCAGAATTTTAATACAAAAATAGCATATTTTTGAATACTGTAGCCATTTGCGCATACAAGAAAAGTCGTCGGGAAACATTTTTATTTTTTCATTTTACAGTACATAAAATAAACTTTAATTTGGTATATGTTTATAGGACTTTGTATTTCCAGAACATTTTCAAAAATTAAATTGAAAAAGTTAGGTTTTGTAAAAAGTTGCTATTTTAAACCTCCCTTTGTGAGCAGAATAAGTGTTAGATTTTCAAAAAAAATGATATCAAATGAAACGAAATTACCTAAGATTTCAATATAAAAAAATATTATTTTGATTTGTTAATATTTGAAAATGTTATGGCAGTTTTAAGTATAAAAAACATCCCGATACAAGGTGATTTTTATCGCAAACATTAAATTTTTTTTTTAAATTTCGACAGCCATTTGCACATAGAAGACAATGTGTCGGGACAAATTTTTTTTTTCATTTTACTGTACATAAAATAAACTTTAATTTAGTATATGTTTAAAGGACGCAGTATTTCAGGAACATTTTCAAAAGTTAAGTTGAAAAAGTTTTATTTTTTATACAATGTTTCAAGTTTTGAACGACCCCTATATTAGGGGAAATTGTCCAATTTTAATAAAAAGTATTTCAATTAGAATATGTACTTATAATGTATTTAGAAAAAAAAAATTTATGTGATACTTACATTTTTCGAAAAGTTATAGCATTTTTAAGTTGAAAATTTAAAATCGAAAATTTTAACACAAAATTAGCTTTTTTTTAACTATGGCAGCCGTTTACATGCAGAAGATAAAGTGTCGGGACAAAATTTTTTTTTTCATTTTATAAGCATTAGAAATTAACATATAGGTTTTTACATATAGGTAATAATTAAACATATGTATAAAGATCAAAAAATTTCTGAAACATTTTCAAAACTAATAATGACAAGTGACATTAGTATTATTCAGCTTTTTTATGTATGATATCCTTAAAGTAAATAAAAAACATTATTATGCTAGTAATATATCAAACTTCTTTATTATAATAATTAACCCAAGCTCTAACTTTTCAACAATATAATTGAGTTGTAGCGCAATTTTTATGTGACGTAATGTAAAATCTATGTGGCAACAATTCTATTTAAAGAAAATTATAATAATATCACAGATATTTTATAAATTTTAGCTTTATCATTTCTAAATGCAGAACAGAATGAGTACGTGTCTTTTGAGACTTCAAATTATATTTTGTTCAAAAAATTTTGAATCCATCATTTATAATTATTTTTTAAATGTTTTCATTAAAAATTGTCAAGATAATTTTTTTATTATTTTATGTGATTTTATATATTAAAACACACAATGCTACAAAAATAAAAATATTACAATTAGATAAATTACTAAATCATCCGGGATGGAAAAATTTGAACGATGTGTACTCTATAAAATATTTGAAAAAAAAATATGATCTTAAAAGTCTAATTGAAATACCTACAAATCAGTCTAACTGTATACAAAAGATACGAGCCTTGACTATATATCTTGGATGTACATATGCTAAAGTTATGAATAATCTTTTTTCAATTATTATCAACATGATAACCATTTGTTATGAAAAAATTCTTGGAGAACACGATTTCTTAAATGGATGCATTTATACCGAAGAACTCATAGACTTAATAGCCACTTTTATTGTTCCAACAGCAACATTGATGAAAAATGCAATGGACGCTTTAGATTTATTACATTACAAACCATGGATTACTTTTATAAGGAATAAAAAAAATTACTACATAATGAGTCCTTTATTAGGGACAATAGCAAATATTCTTCATAAATTCATAATGGAAACATCTCTATCACGTGACGATATATCTACATACTCTTGGATATTAGTTACTGTGTTTAATTTTTTTCTTACATTCATTAAAAATATAAAAAAGGAAATGTTATACTATTGTACATTTGAACCTTATGATACGAATTATTTATGGAATGAATGGAATCAAGAATATAAAGTTATTATTGACCAAGGCATAAAATTAATATTTTTCAAATTCTTAACAAGGAAAATTAAAAATTATATCAAGACAGAAATTATAGAAAAATATTTCCAACTGGGATTTAAATATGATTCAATAACTGAAGAAACGTTTGTCCCAAAACCAAAGGAGCTAATTGAACTAGGTATGTAAAATAAAAAAATATTAATTAAAACATCATTCATAGTCTTATATAAATTTTTTTAGATCAAGAAATGGAATTTAGAGCAACAGATGAAGAACTTTCAGAGACAATAGAAATAGATTTATCAGAGTAGCTCAATATTTTTTTGCATTTATATCGTAATAGATTACTGAAATAGAAATAATAGTAATCATTTCCTACTAACTTTTGGTGTTTAAAAAGATTCTACAATTGAAATATTCAGAAGTTAATTAATTTTAATGATTTACTTTAACTAAAAGAATTAATCAAAACAAAGTTGTCAAAAACATTTATTCAATTGAGCGTATTATAAAATTTGATTATATTTGTAAAAATTAATTGTTAATTCAGGAGAAAAAATAATCATTTTTTTTAGAAATTATTTATATACCAACATGTTGCCAAAAAAATTTGAATATTATAATCTAGTAATAGCACACACAAATATAGTAAATATATTATGGAATTACAAAGTAAAATGATTTAATTTTGTAGTTGTAACCTATCATATCAAACTGAATTCGTCAATAAATACTTTGAAAACATTAAAAATGAATGATTTGAATTGTCTGTATTGAGAACGTGGGATAATTAACTGTTTAATTGATAGATTAGAATTTTGTTTTCAATTTTTGAGGGTAATATCTTCAACTAATTGTAATCATTTGACGTATCGTTGAAAAAAGTAGGTAATGTTAGAGCAAAGAAAATAAAAAAAACCTTCATAGTTTTGCATTGAAGCTAAAACCTAAAATATAGTAAAATAATTTTTATATGAATAAGAAATTTCTTCTCGCGAGGGGTGACTACAGTGATGGGATCCTTGATCTTTATTGATGTTATTGACTCTAAATGAGATAAAAATCAAAGGTGTTGAAAATTTATTTTAACATAAAAAGAATTAAGAAAAAAATGCAAAAAATGCAAAAAATTCCTTGCCATACGCGGGTTGGAACCTTGTACCCCGAGCGCGATAAAAACTAGGTTTACTGACTTGACAACCGTACGTTACTTCCGTTATCTGAAAAAAATGACAGTTTAAGCTAGTTCAAATTTCAAAGCTATTTTTCTCAAATTAAACAAAAAGCAAAAAAATATTAATTAGTTTAACTTTCTACACTATATCAATTTAATCTATATAATATTAATGAAAATCAGTATTCTCCCCTTGTCAGGTATTTTAAATTAAAATAGAATACAAAACCCAGAATTTTAATACAAAAATAGCATATTTTTGAATGACGGTAGTCGTTGTCACCTTGAAGACAAATCCAGAGATCAATTTTTTTTTTTCAAATTAAAGTATATTACCAAAGTTTTAATTTAAGATACATATAAAAGTGTCACTATTTCTCGAACACTATCAAAAATTAAATTGAAAATGTCCTAGTTTCAATACGCGTGTTTAAATTTTTGACCCCCCTTGAATAAAGGGGTATGATCCGATTTAAAAAAAAAGCGTATCAGATGAAAAATGGGCATATAAAAAAATAATAATATTGATCCATACATTTTTCCAAGTTGTAGCAATATAAATTTAAAATAAAAATTCGAGAACTTTGTAGGCGACGGTGCGCGGGTGCGGATCGGTTGGTCGACATTGTCGCTTTCACAACGGGAGGAAGACTCTCGCACCATTTGTGGCGGGTGGTCGTCGGCCGTGCGGCATTTGCTGGACTTTGCACCGTAGCGTATAACAAGCGATGTTGGTCAGTTAAATACTCATAAAATAGGGCGACGGCTGATAAAGGTGGCACGAGTCGCGGGGCATCGTGTATAACGAAGCGACGCGGGCTGTGTCAATAGGTAAATACCTAAGGTATCTATAAAAAAAATATATATTAATTAGGTCATTTTTAAAAAAGTTAGGACAGTTTTAAGCAAAAAAAAATTGAAAATATATCGAAAATTAGCGATTTTTAAATTTGTAATTTTTTGGAGGAATTCCCCATTTACGGTGAACGAGAGAAATTTTTTCAATTTTTGAGGGTAATGTCTTCGACTAGATACGATTTGTGATCTTTTGACATATCGTTGAAAGATATCGGTTCGGTGAGAACTGAGATTGAGCGTTCAAAGACACAAAAAAAAAAATACAAAAACACATCATAATAAAATTAATACCTTCTCTGCTTCGCATCGAAACTAAAAGTAGAACGTACTTGGGAAATCTCGGGTATGTAATTCCTGTCTAAAATTTTGGAAAACTATCGCCAATGAAATGAACACAGAAAATCAATAATTATTATGCTTTTCATCGAACCTAAAAAAAAATTTTGTTCTAGTATTTCTGTCGTAAGAAAACATGCTTAGTTTTTAATTAAGAAGTTTAGTTTGAATTATCACAAATATTCTGTAACATGAAGTGTTGAATGTCAAAATGATCATTACCATTTATTATTTTTAGTTTTTATATTTTATAATTTTGAAGCATATTAAATATATAAGCAATATACAATTTTGATTTTTTAAATAAATAGATTTATTTTTTTAGCAGGCCAGGTTCTAGCGGTTAGAAGAGTTGTGGCTCGCAAATGAAATAAGCATAAAAAATTTAATTTTTTTATATAAAAAAATGAAGAGCCTGGAAAAATTGTTTTGTAAGAAACCTCCCCCCACATTATTTTAAGATATAAATTATTATGTCAGCAAATTGGTATAAAAAAGAAAATCTAGTCTTTATTTCATTCTTACCTATAAATACAATGTATTTTGATAAGAAATTACAAAAAATATAAAGATTTATACAATTTTTTATGTAAATAAATAAATACATCATCAAAATGATAAATAGTTCAGAAAATAAAGTACAACAGTTCAAAAAAATTTATTTATAAACTTAAAAATAATCACATTAAAAATATACAATTTATTTAAACAAAAGAAAAGACATTTTAATTATTTTTAATACTATATTTTAACATTTCTCTGTATATATGTAAACTTTTATTTTTCAGCCTCATTAACTAAGTTAACAATAGTTTCACAATCAATTAAATAACAATCGTTTGATATTTTCTCAATAATGTGACAGTTGAGTACACTTAACATAAGTTTTCCAACAGCCTTAATTGTATTAACACTCCATCTTGTAACACTGACATCTAAGTCTCAGAAATAAAAGAAGTATTATTTTAATTGATTTAAGAAGTTAATCTATCGTTAAAATTAATTCAAATATTACCTTTAACAAAGCATTTGATTGCAGATGCAGGTAAATAAATAAAATTCTTTGGCATTTCTCTCAAATCTTCAGGTATGACAGAGTATTCTATTCCCCAATCCAGAAAATAGACTGTGTAATTATTATTTTTGTTAAACATATCAGGTTTTTTGACACACAGTGCTCTATACCATAAATCATCACCTATTGAGAAAATAAAATAATCTTATTTAATGAAATTAACAATATTGAGTTATTTTCAATTCAAATCATTGAAAAGGCAAATGACAAGAAAAAAAAGGTAGCACAGTAGGGTCGCGACATTGTGTGGACGTGGCATAGTTGGATCCAGTATAGAAGATATCTGACAGTGATTAAAATTACAATCATAAGACACGCTTCAATGCAAATCTGTAGTGTTTAATTTTAAAAAAAAGGTGAATTATTCTAAAAGCAAAATGAACTCTTATTTCCTTCATTATTCCTAATTAGTAGTTCTTTGATTTAGAAATATAATATTAACATTGATGATACGCACGCATGTACGGTTACGAAAACCAAAAATAAAACTATACAGGAATAATGTTCTCGTCGTGTGGTGAGCAGGGTGGGGTGAATGCGTTACGAGAGTCTAATCTTAAGGCCATTACATTAGGATACACGAGAATAATAACACGTGGCGAGTGGAGAATTACAAACAAACTTACAATAAACAAACATACGTGTGAAACTAATATAAGCGTGTTAAAAAATACAGGATTTTGAAAAATTACCCAATAACTAAGTATTAGTATACTATTCATTCATCATATTTCCCAATTTAATTTGCTCTGGACTTTTAAATAAACATACAGAGTGACATAGATCTAACTGATAACTCTTATATCCTTTGATACAATTACAAATTTACTATAATTTTTTAAAAACAATTTTTACATTCCTTGACTGTAAAAATTATTATTAATTTTTAACAATAAAAATAGTAAAAAATTATTGTTTATTGATTCATAATTCTTTCTTCTTCTTTCTCCTCACCTTAATCCCAACTACTTGGGGTCGGCCACCCTTATCCTAAACTTCCACTTGACACAATCTCCCACATCATCTACGCATCACATCAACTGTCCTCAAATCGCATTCAATAGCATCCCTCCATCTCTTTTTTAGTCTTCCTCTATCTCTTCTTCCTTCAACATTAATTTCTATAACTGTTCTTACGGTTTCCGATTCTTCTCTCCTCATAACATGACCAAACCATCTAAGTCTATTTTCTCTCATCTTATCCCCGATTGACGCTACACCTATACTCCCTCTTATATGCTCGTTCCTTTTTTGATTCTTTTAACAACTTTTGAGTGAATACTTATTGAGTTTTGAAGTATTTTAACACATAGAGTTGGTATGTAGAACTGATGGAGTATACAATACAAAAAATTGAGTTTATACAACGATACAAACTGTAAAATATATTTATATATGATAAATTATTAATTATATAATAATTAATAATTGGTTATACTTAAAATTATAGTTGATACTAAACTTACTATACTTAGCAATACAGAGTTCTTCTAATGCTGGAGAATACATATCAATATTTTCCAAACAATACTCTTGAATTTTAGTTTCTAAATCAGTTACAGCATCATCTACAAGATGGTCTCTCATAACTAAATAATCTTTACTTTGACACAAAAAGGTTAAGTTTTTTTTTGATCCTTTTGGCCACCTAGCATGTTGTACATCTTTGATTACAAACTTTTGTGAGGATTGATTCAGTGAATTTTGATTATTTGACAACAATTTATTTGTTATAATTTCTGGTTGTATTTTAGACACATTACCATTATTCTAAAATAGATCAGCTTTTATAAATGTCTACAATTTATTACAAATCTAACAGAACTGGATGATGTCTAGACAATAAAAAAAATATGTTGATGAGATCATCAGCAAACAATTTTTATTTTACACATTAAAAGGGTATTACAAAAGTCACTATCATTAAAGATTTAACAGTTAAGTTATTTTTATATTGGAGAACACTAAAGTAAATTTTAGATCACATTAAAATATGGTTCAAGTGTATAAATTTTTGCAGATTGGAAAGTTGTAGAATGATGATTAATACATCTAATTGAATATCATAACATTATCTACATCTCAAGATTTTTGATGAAGTGATTTAATATATAAGAAAATTGCACTGATATAACATATTCAATAAATATTGATCCTATTATCATTTAATTTTAATTATTTTTTAAATTATTATTGCTTTCTTCGACTATTATTTTTATTATTTCTCACAAATAAGAATTATAATTTTTACAATTAATTATACATTATAATTTAAAAATAGCCATTTTTTAATCGTTTTCTTGCAAAAAATTTTCAAAAGTCATTAAAAGTTTATGTAAAAAGAGCCAAAAAATGGCTATTTTTAAATAAAAAATCATGCTTTCAACATAGTCTAAAAAGAAAATAATTATTTAAAATTTTTTTTTAACAAATTAATAATTGTATTAAAAGTTATAGAGTTGTCAGTGAGATTTAGTATACCTAAATTGAAAAAATAAAAATTTTACCTTTTTTAAAACTTATAACCTCACAAAAATTTTTTTTATCAAAATTCGTCCATGTAGAGATATAAATAATGTTGTTACCTATAATTTGATACTCGATTACATCTAACCAGTTTTTACTCTATGACAAACATGTTTAAATGTGCCAGAGTTTACTTTAAAAAATAACTATCTATTTTATTCTTACAGAATAAAATTATTTTTAAATATTTTTTTTGTTTACCTTTAGTTACATTTCATTCTTGAATTATTATTTATTTAAATTAATCTCTTATAAGATGTAAGGTATGAACTTAAAAAGTATTGCATAGCTAATAATTGAATAATATGTAACTAAATGTAGCCAATAAAAAAAATGTTTAAATTAATTTTATTCTGTAAGTAATTGAGTGGGTATGATAAAAAAATGACCCCATGCAAAGTATTGTACTCAAATGATGACCTGGTATATATAAGAAAACATTCCTCTTTGAAAGAATTGTCAACAACCTCAATAAAACTCATGTTTAAAAAATATGAAATAGGTAAAAATTATGTATAATGACATTTTTTCAATGCTGTAATTTATATAATGTTAATAAGATAAAATTATGTTTTGATTTATACCACATTTTGATCGAGATTATCTTTATTAAAATCAAACCCATTCATATCATCAGGAATTGGAGTAGAACTAAATGATGGTAGTCCAACATTTTCCTATAATATTACAAACATTTATTTATTTTATTTATTTGCAATGCAATATTTAATACTCACTAAATCACCATATGAATGATTCATAACATTAGGTTCTATTAATTTAACTATAGTACTATCTTCCAACTAAATAAAAAATAAAAAATAAAAGATTAGATGAGATTGATGGTTTATGCAATTAATAAAAATTCTTACAAATTTCTTTCCTATAACTTTATAACAATTAGCATACAAAATTTCTTCTGGTATTGGTTGTATATTTATTTTGATAAGCTATAAAAGTATTGTTAAATTCTTGTAAAACAAAAAAAGTTAAATATAATTATAAATAAATTACTGAGTACTTTCAAAATGGTTGGATTATAATGACTTTAGTTTAATTTTAAAATTTTATAATAATAAGTAAATTTTGTTTTTATTTAATTTTAGCCAAATAGTCTCATTATTTTATAAAATACAAAATCTTAAGAACACAAATAATAAAAAGAAACTCAGCCTACTCGTGCTACGATGCATAGACACTGAGATTTGATTCCACTACACTAAGCTATGTACGTTCTTACATTATTTCTAACACATCCATTGTTTTTAAGAGAATTTTAACATAAATAAAATTAAACATAATCATAACAACTATTTCTTAAGTCACAATTAATAATAAAAATAATATTTATTTCATAATTTATTAAAATTAACATAATTTTTAGAATACCATTGATTTTCCTTGGTATTTTGGCAATAAGCTAAAAATTTCTTTAATACAACGAATAACTTCAAAATTTCCAAGATCAATAAGTTTAACTCTTGCTGTCGTTTCATTAATAACTTCATATATTTCTCCTCGATACCTATAAATACTTGGTATCAATTTGATTAACATAAAATGTTTGCATCTTTATTTACCAGTTATGAGCAAAATATATAGCACATGGCATAAATTGTTTAATCAACTTAACTGGCTGAAATTTAGTGCTATCTTCAAACATAATGGATTCTAAGTGCCTTAGCTCAAGACGACTTTCAGCTGTATACACAAAAAAAACTGACGCAGATATTTTTTGTGCTATCCACACCTATACAAAAAATTTAATTAGAAATATCTACATAATTTTCTATTTAGATTTATGAAAAAATAAAAATCAATATAAAAATTTGAACCTGTGATGGAATGTCTAGAGGTATTTTATAGTATTTTATAATTGACTTATCAAAATTGGCAGCAGATTCTAAAAAAACAGTTGTTAATATAAAGATACTTATTTCTTATATAATAAAATAAATACAGTTATCAAAGATCTTATTCAAGTCTAGGATTAAAAAAAACAAAATTAACTTATTAAAAATAAATTATTTATGAAATAACCTGGGATATATACTTCCTTAATACCATTATTGATTGTTTTTCTACTACCCATAAGAACTTTAATTTTGTCATTCAAATTTTCTTTTGTATTGACTGATATAAGTACAACTTTATTTTGATCAGTAATAGAATCCTTAAAATAAATATTATTAAAAAACTAATCAAGAATCTATAGTATATAAACTCACAATTATAAATCTTTCATTTTTACTTATTGTATTTATGAAAAATTGAACTGCTGAGTTTAATGGTCCAGATGGTAATCCTTTCAAGTTGACTAAGTACAAGGAAGTAGCACAATTCTTTAACTATAACAATTTTAATTACTTACCAGCTTTATACACATAAGATACAATTATGTCTACTTGATTATTAGATAGTTGTACAATATTTTTAATATTAACAATGCCTCTAGTTCCATAGTCAATGAAACAAACATTATAGTTTTCATGATCTACTGCTTCAATAATTTCTGCTCTACAGTATTTATTACAATTTTTTTTAGCTGCAATTATTTCACCAATTATTGGAGTTCTATTAATTGGATTTTCTAAAAATAATTGATAAAAACATAGTTTAATCAAAAATAATTTAAATAAATTATTTCCTCAATAATCAATTTAATTACTCATATTATATATATTATGTATTATGTTTTACACTAGCTATGCATTAATTTACCTTAATATCAGGGAAAAGTTTTGCCACATTTAATGAACTAATTACATTATTAAAAAAAAAATTTTAATTAACTTAATATAATATATTTTAAAAAACTAAAAAATTTACTGAGCATGTTCTATGTTACCTAAGGCGCAGGAAGAAGAAAATTTTTCTAAAAATGACTTAAATTTATCTGTTCCATTGTTAATGCGTCTAACACTAAGATTTTGTAGATCATCAAATGATGATATATACACAATATCACCTTTGCTTAACAGTTGCATTGCTTCAGGAGATTCTGTAATATGAAATATTATACTAAATAAAATTTTAAACGTATTTATATATTATACAAAGTAACCACAATGTTTTGACATATCAATCAACAACTGATATATTGAATATTTTTATGTTATTTCTTTAGCTACGATATACCATGTCTTTTTTTCTCTAATAATTAAGTTAGTAAAAGTTATGTGTCTATTAAGTTGTTATCTGTAGTCCAATTTTTTATTGTCTGTTAATTGTATAAAAGCCGCTTGGTGTTGATTATAATATAATAATAATTAAATAATTGGTAATTATGAAAACTAATTTGTTGCATTGATTTGCCCACAAATAGTCTAGTATTGAAAGTTCTATTTTATAATTTAAGAGAAGTAAATTTAAAAATTCGTAGTAGTGCTACATTAGTCATAAAAGAAAAAGAAGTATTTTAGACTAAAAAAAAAATTCTAATAAAAAAAAATCAGCATAGTATTACTCAAGTAAAAGGTTTGTATAAAGAATGAAAATCATTGAATAAATCGAGAAAACGAAGAAATTTGACACAAATTACTAAAAAACAAAAATTTATCGACAAAATGTTTTGTCTATGCGATATAGCACACACAGATGCTTTGTATACAATTGACTATGAAGAAACTAAATTATATTTAAATAACCAATAGCAAAAAGGTTATTTAAGAAGTACAAGTAAAAATGATTGTTCTAATAATGGACGTCTAAATTGTACTTATATACTTTTAAAACAAGAGTTAAATAAAAAAATTCTTTACATGCCATGTAGAAATAATATTTTTTAATTAATTTTAACACGTTGATGGACAAAATCATATATTACTGTTATAGCAGTAATATTAAAATTTGACTATTCTAAAATTATTCTTAACTATTCTAAAAATGTCATTACTGATATAGCAGTAATATTTTCAATGATTTCTTATGAAGGAGCAAGTTGTTTTGACCCCATGCATTTCATAAAACCAGTGTTTGTAAAGTACCATGTCATTAACTGTCCATCAACGTATTAAAATGTGTTTTTGAAAATAAAATTCAAAAATCAACTGGTCTCAATGTTGTTCTTTTCAACATTTTTCAGTTAGTTTGGAATAAAATTAACAAAAATAAATTTAAAGTTGGAATATCCAATAAAGTTATTTGTAAGAAATTAAATAGATCAATAGATGGTACAAAAGATTTCGCAAAAAAAAAAAATAAGCGAACGAAAATTAAGAGAAGATTGTCGTTAACTTTTAGAGCTCGCAATTATATTTTTAAGTGGAGTTCCTCCTCATAGCATATCATTTAGAACCCCTTGAGCTTTTCGTCGTGCTATGTGGATGGCCAAATCTATATATTTTTAAAAATTTTCGTCTTCAAGGCCAATTAAAAATAACAAAACAGTAGTTAAACGGTTTTCGATATATATATATATATATATATATATGTCTATCAAAAGTATATATTATAGCGTGGATAAACGCAACAAACGCTATAAAAGCTCCATTTTTTAAACTATGTTTCTTAAAAAGCCTTTTTTTATGTACAGATATCGATGAAAACATAAGTTTTGTAACTTATGTAACAGTAAAAAAGTTTTGTAACCATTTATGGTATTTAGCACCATAAAATAAAAATGGTAAGAGCATTGAAAACAAATACTAAATTTGAAGGAACAAAAAAATATTTTTTACAATCTCAAGATATTAAAACAATAATAAATGTAATATAGAAGACTTCATTACTACTAAATCAAACAACTATTTTAAACGTTTTAATATAAGTATGGATTTTCTAAACATAGATCATATTTTAGGAACATAACGACGACTATATAGAAGGATTGAACACCGTTAATAAATTAAAAGTTACAAACGATGTTGCAGAAAGAAGCGTAAAATTAGTTGAAGATTACAACAATATTAGAACAAAAGATGAAAAACAAAAACAATAAATCAACTTTATCCCAAGATTTTTAATACATATATATATAAAAGTTATAATGCACTTTTATAGCATTTCATTTTATTTTATTTTATAAAATTTTTAAAATTTTATTATTCATTCATTAAAAAAACTACATTTTTAAAATTTTTAACAAAGTTTTAGAAAAACCTATTTTTTTAATTTTATGATTTATTTCAACTAATACTAGTTCAATTCTATAAAATTCAACTTAAGTAATTTATATTCAAGTCAGTATAAACATTTGAAAAGGTTGTAATGAAGTGTTGAAATTTTTAGAGTCACAAAGTATAAAAAAATAAGCTGTTTAATTATTATTGTGTTATCAATATATCACGTGTAAAAAATGCAATAAATTATTAAAAATAATATATCAAAACATTTGTCTTTACGTAAGGTTTTTTTTTTTGTATTTAAACTTTTATTGAAAAAATCACTTGATAACCTCTAATATAGGTTATACAGGAGATTTTTTTATCATAATCTAGTTATTGAATTTTAGCTTCGATACGAAGCAGAGAAGGTATTAATTTTACTATAATGTGTTTTTTTTTTTTTTTTTTTTTCTGTTGCCATTTTTTCTCAGCTCTCACTGGACCGATTTCTTTCAAAAATAAGTCAAAAGATCACAAATCGTATCTAGTTGGAGACATTACCCCTAAAAATTGAAAAAAATTACCTCGTTCCCCGCAAATGGGGGAAATATGCAAAAAAATAACAAATTTAAAAATCGCTAATTTTCGAAATTTTTTCACTTTTTTTTCTTAAAACTTTCATAAATTTTTGAAAAATCACCATTTATCGGGATGTTTTTTGTAATTAAAACTGCCATAACTTTTTTAAAAATGAACAAATAAAAATAATATTTTTTTATACTTAAACCTTAGATATTTCCCTTTCATTTGATATAATTTTTTTGAAAATCTAACACTTAACCTGCTCATTGGGGGAGATTTAAAATAGCAACTTTTTTACAAAAACTAACTTTTTCAACTTAATTTTTTAAAATGTTCCAGAAATACTGCGTCCTTCAAACATATATCAAATTAAAGCTTATTTTATGTATTATAAAATGGAAAAAAAAATTTGTCCCGTCACTTTATCTTCTACATTTAAACTGCTGCCGTAGTTAAAAAAACACTATTTTTTGTTAAAATTTTCGATTTTCAATTTTAAATTTTCAACTTAAAAATGCTATAACTTTTTGAAAAATGTATATATCAGCACAAATTTTTTTTTCTAAATACATTATAAGTACATCTTTCATTTGACATACTTTTTATTAAAATTGGACAATTTCCCCTTATATAGGGGGCGTTCAAAACTTAAAATATTGTAAAAAACATAGATCTTTTTCAACTGAACTTTTGAAAATGTTCCGGAAATACTGCGTCCTTTAAACATATATCAAATCAAAGGTTATGTTATATACTATCAAATGAAAAAAAAAAATTTGTCCCGACATCTTATCTTCTATATGCAAATGGCTGTCGAAAATTAAAAAAAAATGTAATGTTTGCGATAAAAATTACTATTTATCGGGATGTTTTTTGTAATTAAAACTGCCATAACTTTTTTAAAAATTAACAAATAAAAATAATATTTTTTTGTATTGAAACCTTAGATATTTCTCTTTCATTTGATATAATTTTTTTTGAAAATCTAACACTTATTCTGCTCACTGGGAGGATTTAAAATAGTAACTTTTTTACAAAAAATAACTTTTTCAACTTAATTTTTGAAAATGTTCCGGAAATACTGCGTCCTTCAAACATATATCAAATTAAAGCTTATTTTGTGTACTATAGAATAAAAAAAAATTTGTCCCGACGACCTATATTCTATGCGCAAATGGCTACCGTATTCAAAAATATGCTATTTTAACAAATTTTTTTTTTATAAATTAAACACTATCTACAGATTTGCATCGAAGCGTTTTTTATGATAGTGATTTTAATTACTGTCAGATATCATCTATACTGGACCCAACTATGCCACGACCCCACTGTGCTGGGTTTTTTTAATGTAACTTTATTTGTTTATTAGATATACACATTTAAAGTTATAAATTTTTAAGTTAATATACAAGTATAATACACAAGGGATTACAAATACAGGTAGCTAATTGGTTTTTTATGACATTGCTATCACAGTCACGGATTGTTTATTATCAATTATGACTATCAGTAGATATACTTTTTGTATTGTCAGTTAGTGTATTTATAAACTCACAACAATGTACCTTACTATTATACAGGATGTTCAGTAAGTCAGGAAACCCTGTAGATAATAACAATTCTGTGTACCTGCTAATAACGATGTCATAAAAAATCACCCTGTATTCTGTTTTATAGAATATTCTACGAAAATTCGAGTTCAAAATCTTAAAATGCTGTGAGCCTCGATTTAAATTTTTCCAAATGATCTTAAATTTTCAGAATATTATTTTTTTATACTAAAGAAAAAAATGGATTATTCGTAAAATAAGGACCACCTTAATACTACATACTAAAATGTTCTTTCTTTAGATATTTTTTTTAAGACAATCCAATAAAAATCTATGTACAGGAAGGGTTTGAAAAAGACCAAGCACACATCTGAAAATTATTTTTTTTAACTTAATTTTTGAAAATGTTTTAAAGTAACTGCGTTCTTTAAACCTATATTAAATGAATTAAAGAGGTGAAAAAGGCCAAGTACCAATGTCGGATGAAATCATGATAGAACAAATAAAACAATTCGGCACAAAAACAAAACAATGGCTGTTAAATTTCTTAAACTCTTGTCAGAATACCAAAAACATGGAGAAAGACAAAGGTAGTCGTTCTGCCCAAACCAGGCAAAGATTACAATGACTCTAAAAGCTTCAGAACTATATCTTTACTTTGCCATAAATTTAAACTATATAAAAGAATGATTATGAGCCGTATAAAAGAACAAATTGAAAGCAAACTTATCGCCGAACAAACTGATTTTAGGCCAAATAAAACTTGTACAGGGCAGGTACTAAATTTATGTCAGAACATTGAGGATGGCTATGAGAATAAAAAAATAACGGGGTATGTTTTTGTAGACCTATTTAGAGCGTATTATACGGTTAATTACAATTTACTACTGGAATAGATATATAAGTGCACAAATGACACTTAAAAAATAACATTTTTGAGCTTTTAATTTAATAGTAAATGGCAATTTAATTTTTAATATAACTTAATTCGTTTATTAGATATAAAATTTTGAAGTTTCAAATTTTTGAATTAATATACATGTAATAAAACATGTAGGTCTACAAATACAGGTAGCTAATTCATTTTTTATGATGTAGATATTCGCAGCTACGCAGCATTTATTACCAATGGTAGTAAGATACATTATTGTTGTGAGTTTATAAATACACCAATTGGCAATACAGAAATTTAATACTAATCTCAAAGAACTAGTTCTTTATTAACTAGTATCTTTAGTTAAGATTTAGTATTAGACAATAAAGATTAATTAAAATCACTTTACATTTTCTAGAAATATAATGAAATGTACAAGCATAAATTAACTTTGATATGTGTAAATAAGTTACATAAAATTAAAAAATTATGAATATATATAATTTATTGTAATAAAATTAAGGATTAAGCATAATTTTTTTTCTTAATTTTGATAAACTTGAGATACTTAAAATGATAATATATGATGAAGCACTTAATTAAACAATCATTCTTATTATAGTGAATTAGTGTAGCACGGTATAGGTATCTCATTAAACCATAGTTAGTCGTTTTTCATTATTTATGAGTTTAACTATAGTAAACTCTTAAACTCGTAACTAAATAACATACAACTATAATTTATATTTCAAAAATATTGACTGAAAATTATACTATAAAAACTAATAACTAGTTAATTATACTACAAAAAGTACTATTGGAATACAGTAATAACTACCCCTTTTTAACACGCTTATATTAGTTTCATTTGTATGTTGTTTGTCGTTTGTTGTAAGTTTGTAACTACACGCGCCACTTGTTATTATGTCGCGTATCCCGTCGTCTATGGTCTTAAGACTAGACTGTCGCAACGCATTCACCCCACCCCGCTCGCCAACAACAATATTTTCCTGTATAATTTTATTTTTGGTTTTCGTACCAAACTCTTAAAATATGGAGAAAAAGATGCAATACCATGGATCTGGCAGTCAAAGATGTGGACAACAGAAAAACTTCCAGAGGATTGGAAGGTGGCGGTGGTGTGCCCAATTCATAAAAAAGGTGATAGACAGGATTGCAACAATTACGGGGAATATCCTGGCTTAACGTAGCGTATAAAATATTCTCGAATTGTGTCTTAGACAGAATTAAAGAAAAAGTAGAACAAATAATAGGAAACTATCAAGAAGGGTTTAGAGCTGGTAGATCTACGACAGACCAGATGTTCATAATTAGGCAATTGTTTCAAAAAAAAATGGGAGTTTGATAAAGAAATACATACACTTTTCGTGGACTTTAAAAAAGCATATGATAGTATTCATAGAGACAGTCTACTGAATATTATGAAAGAATTTAATTTCCCACAAAAACTGGTCAATCTAATATCGATCAGTGTAATGGAGACCTTGGTAAGGGTTCAAGTGGGAAATTCAATAACTGACCCGGTTAGAGTGAATTCAGGACTAAGACAAGGCGATTCGTTATCGCCGATTCTGTTCAACATGGTTTTAGAGAGGGTAATTAGGGAAATGAAAATTGAACCTCATGAAGGTATTAGACTACAAGACACGGTGATAGGTATACTTGCTTATGCGGATGATATAGTGTTGATGGAAGAATCTGAAGATAGATTGAAGATATTATTTAGTAGATTGTATAAAGCAACATCAAAAGTAGGACTATACGTAAACGAACAAAAAACGGAGTATATGATCTTGAGTAGACGAGAGCTACCATTTTGTCAGTCCATAAAAATAGATCACTACGAATTTAAAAGAGTACAACAGTTCAAATACCTCGGTACTATTTTGACTGAAAAAAATAATATAGCAAACGAGGTAGCAGCGAGAATTCAAGCTGGGAATAAATGTTACTTTGGACTCACTAAGATACTACATTCAAGAGTAATATCGCGAAGAATGAAAGAACAATTATATACGTCCCTGATATGACCTGTTATATTATATGGATCAGAAATATGGCCACTTAGAAAAATGGACGAACAGAGATTTATTACCTTTGAAAGAAAAGTATTACGGAAAATATATGGCCCAGTCAAGGACAAAATAACTGGGGAGTGGAGACGAAGAAAGAATATAGAACTAGAAACACTATATAGTGGTCCGAATATATTGAAGATTATCAGAGGAAGAAGACTACAATGGGCCGGCCATGCTTGGAGGAACCAAAATCCACTTCTACATGCAGTGATTGAATAAATTCCTGTAGGTAAAAGACCTTTGGGAAGACCAAGAATGCGCTGGGAAGATGTTGTAAAAAATGATGTTGAGCAGATGGGAGGTGTGTCCAATTGGAGGGATTTGGCAGTGGACAGAGAAGGCTGGAAGCTTGGTTGTGAGACGGTATGGTCTTAAAGGTCCAATAAACCCAAGAAGAAGAAAAAGAAGATAACTATATTTTTGGTTTTCGTACCCATACACGCGTGCGTGACATCAATTATATATATATATATATATATAAACAAATTTTTATTTTGACTGACCAATACCACCCGCATGTAATGCGCGCCTTACGTATATATATTTATATATTCTTACCGCCGCTACCACCGTTCATACCTTAGGTATAACATTCCCCCAGCCCACAAAACTAGGCTATACCTAGTGCATGATACGTTTATGTACTTATGTCGCTTTACATGTATATATATACAGGGTGTTCAGTAAGTCAAGAAACGGTTTTCTATTGTTCTCATTGTTACAAACAATGAGAACAATAGATACCCGTTTCCTGACTTACTGAACACCCTGTATATTCTAAATACTATTAAAAATATATATTGACACGCTTTATTCTCATTAAGAGATATAGAGTGTATTCATTCCGATTACAAAGGATGATTCCCGTATCGTCATTTTTCGTCACTACCTCCATGTACCGAGAGTGGGTAATTTACGCGCCTGCTGCTTTCCTAGGATGTGGTAGCCGTTTCTCAGACTCCCTCCCCGGAATCAAACCCTGAATTCCCGTTACCCGTTACAACCATGATATTGATAGTAACTACTATCATAACATGAAACTAAAAAGTGAAAAATAAATAGTTTAAAAAAACATGCTTTTAAAAAGCACATCGAACTAAAAAGTTGAAAATAATTTTTAAAATAAGCTTAAAACAATAATGAACGAAAAATACAAGTATTATTATGATAAATCGTGGATGCTTTGTGCCATATTATTTGTATATTGAGCGCCCGACACTTTTATCACAATAATATTAGTATTTTTTCGTTCATTATTGTTTTAAGCTTATTTTAAAAATATTTTGAACTTTTTAGTTCGATGTGCTTTAAAAGAGTGTTTTTTCAAACTATATTTTGAATAATGAAGGATTGATCACTTGTGATAGTTACTAATAGCTTTCAGACTACTCAAGAGTTTAAATATAGTTATGTAACTGTTGTTCTTGAAGAAAAATGAAGAACAATAAAGAAAAATAAAAAACAAAGATTATAAACTAAGATCATTGTCAACAATAAAATGATCAAAAAATTTTTTTAAACTACAAACCTCTTTCTTTTTCTGACATAAGTTTTGTTAAGTGAACATTTATGTTTTGATTTGTATCAACAGTTTTTAATGTTACAGAATATTCATAATTAGGTCTGCTTTCTTCCAATTCCTAAAAGTTCATAATTTAATTTTAAATGACATAAGATTTACAAATTATGATATTTAATACATACAATTATTAATGGTATATTTTTTTCACAAAGCCAATTTATGTAAGATATAACCTGACCATTAAATAATTCAACATCTACTCCTTTCAAACTGACTACGTAGACACTTTGTGGTATCTATTGGAGTAAATTTATGACAAAATAATAAAAATAATTAAACATATTTATATAACACATAAAATCTTTTACTTAAAAATAAGTAGCATGAAATATATATATACAGAGTAATTTTTTTATCATAACCCACTCAATTACTTACAGAAAAATAATTAATTTAAACATTTTTTTTTTTTTAGTTATCTTTAGTTATACATTATTCTTGAACTATTAACTATGTAATACCTTTTAAATTCATCCCTTATGTCTTGTAAAGGTATAATCTTTGTTTTTCAAATAGGAACACCTATTTTGTAAGGCACATTACTATTGAACGTTTATAAATACACAAACTGGCAATACAGAAAGCATATCTATCAATAGTCATAATTGACAATAAACACTCCATAACTATGATAGCAATGTCATAAAAACAATTGGCTATCTGTATTTGTAATCCCTTATGTATTATACATGTATATTAACTCAAAATTTGAAACTTTAAATGTGTATATCTAATAAACAAATAGTTATATTAAAAATTCAAAATATTTGTTCCTATTTGAAAAAGTAAAGTTATCACCCTTACAAGGTATAAGGGATGATCTTAACCTTTATGTGACTGAAAAAAAAAACAACTTCTTATGACGGTGTAGGTACCCGGGTACCTACAATATAGTTATCTGTGCTTTTCCGGTAAATTATTTCATTGTCGTCAGTTTATCGCTTTTATATCTTATTATATGTAATTCGAATTATCAGTAGACATAATTTTATTAATATCGAACATTTTAAAAATATAGTTACGGTTTATATGTCCGTCATTTTAGTTTTTGACATTGACGTGAACACAGTATTAACATTAATTCAAAAGTGTGTATTATTGTTTGAATTTTGATTTTATTTATTATATAATATTCATAAATGCTAAATATGGCTGATGGTCAGGCTAATAACCAACGTCGTAATGAAAGACTAAGGAGATCTAGGTAAGTATAAACAACATTTTGAAACATATGTAATGTGCAAAGAGTCGTTTTAGAAACTATAAAATATTTTAATGATATAGTTCTTTTCTAAAATATGATTTTATAATTTAGATATATGATAATTAAATTTGAAATATAAATAAAATAATATAATTTTCATGTAATAATGATGTCATACAAATAAGTATACAAGATAATATATATATTATATACCTACCTAACTATTATTAGTTTTTATTATGTTTTATATTTTTTCAAGATTACCATCTGATGAAATAAGAAATGTATTGGGGGAATCAGATTCTGAAGGTGAACTATATCATGTATCTGATGAAGATGAGTATTTTCCCGAACCAGCAGCTATTGAATTTGAAGAATCAGATGTAGAAATAGAGCCAGTTATTGAGTATGGTGAAGACTTTGATTCAGATGAAAGCAGCGAAGATGAATCCATACATATCGAGCCTAGAGTCGGTAAAGATGGTACTCAGTGGTATGATACACCATATCCTCAGGCTCAAACAATTTCTCGTAACATTTTGCGTCAAAAACCTGGACCATTAAATTCTACTGCATTATTTACAGCAAAAGAGATATTTAAATCTATCATGTCAAAAGAAATATGTGACATAATTTTGAGAGAAACCAAAAGAAAAGGTCAACAAGTTACAGAAGACTACAATAGAGAACTAATAGAAAAATTTCCAGTTTCTAGTCGACCACTAACAAAAAAATTTATACCATTTACCGAAGAAGAATTTGATGCATTCTTGGGAATTCTTCTCGTATCTGGTGTACATAGATCTAATAAAGAACATGTATCAGAAATGTGGAAATTAGACTCGTTACCTCTCATTCGAGCTGCAATGTCTCGAGATCGATTCAAAATGTTGCTAAGGTTTATTCGTTTTGATAATGTAAACACTCGTAATATACGTATTACAACAGACAAAGCTGCACCGATTCGTGATATTTGGACAATGCTCAATCAAAACTTACATAAAAATTATAAACCTACAGAAAATATAACAGTAGACGAACAATTATTTCCTTACAGAGGACACACAAAATTTACACAGTACATTCCATCTAAACCTGCAAAATATGGAATAAAGGTTTTTTGGGCTTGCGATGCAGCAAATGCTTACCCTTTGCATGGTAAAATTTACACAGGCAAACCACAAGATGGTAAACGTCAAGTAAATATTGGTGAACGTACAGTTCTAGACTTAGTTGCGATGTATAAAGGTTCTGGACGAAATGTGACTACAGACAATTTTTTTACAAGTATGCAATTGGCTACTACATTAAACTCTTGGAATATGACATTGGTTGGTACTGTCAGAAAAAATAAAAGATTCTTGCCTCCCAAAATGCTTCCATCAAAAGCCAGAGCTTTACATTCTACAAATTTTGTATTTAAAAAAGATATAACTCTTTGTTCTTATGTTCCAAAAATAAATAAATCGGTTATTCTTTTATCTACAATGCATATGACAGCCGACATAATGCAAGCTGCTACCGCTAAACCAGAAATTATAAAATATTATAATCAGACAAAAGGAGGAGTAGATACAATGGATAAAATGTTAACAGAATACACAGTAAAGCGAAGAACTAATCGTTGGCCACTTGCATTTTTTTTCAACATGATTGATATTGCTGCTTTAGCTGCATATATTATATATATGGAACACAATCAAAGGTTTAACACAACTGATCGACGCCGAAAATTTTTGAAAGAGCTTGCAAATCAGTTATGTATGCCTGCAATAGAAATTCGAACCTCCATACCTAAAGTAGTAGGAAATCGGTATACTCGTAATTCAATGGAAATGGTTCTCGGACGGCCAATACAACAGATAATTGCTATTCCTAAAAATGAACCACCTCGTGATGCTTCAGGACGTATTCAAATAGTTGGAAGTTGCTTAGTATGTCGAGAATTAGGTTATAAGCAACGGAAAACTCGAAAAGCTTGTTCAACTTGCTCAAAGCCTATTTGCAATGAACACTCAATAAACAAATCATTTTGCGAAACTTGCAATCAACAAAACACCTAAATATGTTATAATACTTACTAAATATGTAAAAAATAACATTTTTGTTCTCTTAATATTTGTATCTATATTAATGATGTCCAGTAAAAATATTTATCAATGGTAATTTAACTTTTTGTATCAATAAAACCTATATTTAAATACAATATATAGAGGTACCCAGGTACCTACTACGTCCTTATAAGGTGTAAAATTAACAACGCCATTTTAAGTACAATAAATTGTATACTTTTCAAATACAAAATATAAATTTGTTAACTATACATGCTATTTAGAGATGTCACAGAAGGACTAACCATACATACTAAATATTTAGAAGGAAAATAAATTTAAAAACTGAAAAGGTACCCAGGTACCTTTCCAGTCACATAAGGGTTAATAAGTATTACATAGCTAATAATTTAAAAATAATGTATAACTAACGATAACCAAAAAAAAGATGTTTTAATTGTTAGCTTCGATGCAAAGCTGAGAAGGTGTTAAAAAATTGAAAAAAATTCTTATGTTTCCTATAAATGGGAGAAATCTCCAAAAAATTTACAAATTTAACTCTAATTTTTGACATTTTTAAAATTTTTTTTACTTGAAACTGTTTTAACTTTTATAAAAATGATCAAATCAATAAAAAAAATTTTTTATAGATACATGAGACATTTACCTATCATTTTGTGTATTTTATTTATAAATCTGACCCTTTATTTGCCCACAGGGGGGGATTCAAAATGACAACTTTTTCACAAAAAATTAACTTAACTTTTAAAAGTGTTCCGGAAATACTGATACTTTTATAATATAAAAGTGTAAGTATTTATATAGTTATATTAAAAATTATTGGTGATGGAAAACGTATAATTGCTGATTTGAAATTAGCACAAAAAAATTGAATAATAAAAATATCTTTTTTACTCTGATGAAAATTTTTTGCAGATCATTTATTCATAATTAACAACAAATTATCAAAAAAGTTCTGTGACAAGTTCTTCAATTTTTATACATGTTTGCCATAAAAGTAATAACTACATTATAATTTTTTATAAATTCTCAGAAAAAAATTACGATATTAAATTATTAAATATCAATTTCATACTACGTGAAATTGTTTTAATAGATATTTATTTATAAATTATACTTATAAATCAACTACTAATTAGGAATAATAATATAAATGGGAGTTAATTTTGTTTTTAGAATAATCAACCAATTTCTTAAAATTAAAGACTATTTATAGATTTGCATCGAGCGTTTGTTATTATATTGATTTTAATAACTGTCTGATATCATTTATACTGACCCAACTATACCACGTCATCACTGTGCCACGACCCCCTCCCACTGTGCTGGTTTTTTTTATTCTGTAAGTAATTGAGTGGGTTATGATAAAAAAATAATATATATACATATATATGTATTAAGATTAAAATGTAAATTATAAATATTTTAACTCTTAAGAAGGCTTTTACTCAGTGTTACAAGCAGAAAAAAGTAATCTTATGACAGCATTGAAAATAATTAAATTGCATATTCATAAACAACATTTCATTGTTTTAAGTCTAACAGATATTAAAAGAAGATGAAATTTCTTTAATTTCATATAAAAAATTGTTATATAGTTATTAATGATAAAAGAAGTTTATTTTAGATAATATTTACTTACTTTCTTAAGATAATCCGGAATTTTAACAATGCTATTAAGTTCTACAACATCTTCATTTTCAAGATCAAAAAATTTTACTTTATACTGATTATTACTTATTTGCTCTTTAATAATACCTCTATAAAACAAATCATTAATAGATGATCTGATACCACAAACTTCACCAATTATAGGTGTTTCACTGATAGCACCAACTAGAAAAAAAGTAAATAATAAACAACCATTTTTAAATGAGATGCTTAGGAGGTCAAGTGTATATTGTGCACAGTATGACTGAAAATTAAAAATTCTTTGTAGAAAAAATTGTAAAAAAAAAATGATAATCTTGTAAAAGAATGATTTGTAGTTTTCATGCGATGCAGAAAAGATATTTGTTTTATTTTACCAAGACAAGTTAATGATTTGTTTCTGTCTGCTACTTTGTATACTCGGAGGATTCTATAGGATTAATATTAACATATATTGAATGAATATGCAGCCTTGTTACAATATCAAGCTTTACTGGCGATAGGACCTACAATCTGAGTGCAAGAAGGGCAGTTTTTGCTCACTTCAATAACAACTAAAACTTACTAGTATACTACAGGATAGAAAAAATATGTCTTAGGAACTTCTAAATAAAAATGACAGTCAAAGTTATAAATAATTTCTGATTTTTTTTTTTAATTTTTAATGTTTTGAAAAAAACCTATTCTAGAAATCTATATTAATTTAACGAATATATAATGACCTTTGTATTAAAAAAAAGAGGTTTTTCTCAGAATTTGTCTTCATAGAGAAAGCAACTGCCAACATTTTGTAAAAATTATACTATTTTTTGTTAAAAATGATCAATAGGGTTTTTTTATTTTTTTTAAATCTATTTAAAGTACTTGCATGCTATTATATAATATTTAGTATAATTAACTCTGTAACATGAATAGCTTGGCGAGATAAATTAATTATTTAATGCACATTCATATTGAAGCACTTTATGATAGTAATTTTAATACCATTAGATTTCAATCTAAACTACTGATGAAAACTATGCTAGGTTCCAACTACATATATATATATATATATATATATTTTTTTGTTATAAAGAAAACAAAATCTTAAAAACTCAATTTTTATGAAATTAATACATACATAAGAACTATAATGTAATACATACTAGAAGAACAGTATGAAGAAAAATTGTTCAAAAACACATCCATTTCTTCTTTGTTGTAATCTACTTTAATATATATATCTCTAGCATTAACAAATGAATAAACTGTGATAACACTATTATTAGTTAATAAAGGTATTTTTGGGATGGGTATTATAGTACCATTTTCTTCTAGAATAGATATTAATTTTTATTAGTATATTAACATAACCAATAGATAGACTGCTTACCTAAATTTGAAGAAGCACTTTTAATATCTTCAGGATTAATATTGTCTGTTAGCAGTTTTTTAATGTGATTCAAGATATTTACTTCTCCATTAATAACTGTTAGTGTCACTTCTTTTAAATCTTCACACTCCTAATAAAAACGTATAAAATGTATACATGTAGGATTAAAATAGATATGACTTTTTGCTTTTCATAAGCGTTTATTTTATATGATAAATACACTAATTGTATTATTTTTTTTATAATATTATATTTTATAGATTTAAATTATCTTAAAAACTAACTTTATAAATAAAAAACCCTAGAATTCACCCCTCTTTAAATTAAGTGCAGCTCAGATTAGGCATCAGAACTGTTTTGTTTTATTTCCAATATTTCATGTAGTAATAATTTTGATTGGTTCTTTGTCAGTCCCTAGTTAAAGCACAACATGTCTATTAGGTTTAACTAAGTTTTAGTTAGATCTGCCCACTCTGCTTTTTGAAGTCTTGCTAAAAATTCATTCTAAATTGCCATACAAACTGGATATGGACTAAGGGCATCTAAAAGGGGTAATTGATTCCCTGCACGGTGTTCAATAACATAAACAAAATCTTGCATGACCTAAATACTCAATTGTACTCATAGGAAAATTACATTAATTCACTTAATGATTAAATCATAATCAAGTGTGACTTCTAATATTAATTTAAGTTTTCTAATAAATATATATGTTTAATCATAATTATCGGACACAATAATTAATTTATCCATATACACTAAAAGTATATTTTTAGAATTAATTCATGAAAAATAAAATTGATATATCTCTGAAAAATTAGGAGTGACAAATGAAGTCCAAAAGACATTCTTAGGAATTCATATTGACCATCTGCAGTTACAAAATTTGTATACTTTATACTTTCCTCATCTAACAGCACATGAAAAAATTAATTCATTAAATCTAAAATTGTAAACAAAGAAAGACCTTGTGTCTTGTTAAGCTGATATTCTATATGAGGAAATAGGTATCATTAATAATTTTTTTGCTTAGTAAACAATAATCAATGCATAATTTTAATGAACCATCTTATTTTGACACTAATACTACAGGAATACCACCAGACAACCATTCTAGAATTTTTTGATTAAATTTCTAATATGAAATAATTTTTTTATCATGAACCATTTAATTAATCAAAAAGTAAAAATAATTTCAGAGAATTCTTTTTGTTTTTATTTTTAAATATTTCTTGAATCATCAATTATTAAATACTTTCTTGGATTATAACTTATATCATGACAGTGTCAACTTTATTTTTTAAATGCCAATATAGATATTTAACTACCTTATAAAATATAAAATAACTGGTCAATAATAATTTTTGTGCTAGTATTTTGGAAGTTATTAAAATTTAAAAATATATATTATAAAATACTAATAATAATGCCAATTCCAAACCAAATTCTAGTCTATCTTCTTTTTCTTCTTCCTCGCCTTAATCACAACAACTTGGGGTCGGCCACCCTTATCCTAAACTTCCACTTGACACAATCTCCCACATCATCTACGCATCACATCAACTGTCCTCAAATCGCATTCAATAGCATCCCTCCATCCTTTTTTGGTCTTCCTCTACCTCTTCTTTCTTCAACATTCATTTCTATAACTAGTCTATATAGAATTGAATTGTAAATGCACTTTTTAGATAAAAACACAAGTTTTTATTTCAAACTTACATTTAATATCATAGCTATACATACTAAGAACCAGAATTTTTTTAACTAAAATAAAATCTGCAAAATATTTTAACACAAAAAATTAATTTACAATTACACCATTTGTTTACATTTACTCCACCTCATCCTAATAAATATATTTATGTATGTATAATTTTTTTCTATATCTTACAAGTTTTAATGGTTCACATAGCAACAATAAAGTTTCCAAATATTTATAAACACCATCATTTAAATGGTCATTTGGTATATCTTTAAGTCCAATCAAACATATTGAAGGCTTTACCTGCAGTATAATTTTTAATTAAAATAAAAATTTAGAAATAGATAAATAGATAAATATAATGTTTAGTAAAAGTAAGATTAATTTAATAGATACTGTAAAATTGGTTTAAGTTGGCCACTTCCAAATTTAACTTTAACACATTTATTAAATTTAAATTAAAGAATTGGGTAATTACAGATGTAAATTATATAATATTCTATTATATATATTGTATAGAACAATAAAAATAAGCAGTGTTTTATAAAAAAACAATTATATATTATAAGAAAAAAATAAAATTAGTACAAAATATTAAAAAAGTATAACAAACTCATTAAACATAATATTTTAATTGATTAACTATTTAAATATATAATTGTGCTTATAACTTTCATTTTACTGTTGAACGTTATAAATGCATGAAGAAAGTTAATGTGCAATTTTTTTTAATTTTTGTAAAACAACCCTTCAATTTTTTATTAAAAAAAGTCCCGATTTATCCAAAAAAAAAAAATAAATCTAAATTTATAATTTTTTTTAACTATTGCAGAAAATATAATTTAATCTAAATAGTTCTTCATTTTTTCTGAAAGATAAGCAAGTGTATTTGTCACTGTTAAAGTTAGAGATTTAAATGTATAATTGGCTTTATTTAGTTAATGGTGTAACCAGGATTTCTTAAAAGGAAAGTATTATAGTCAAAAAAATCTCAATGAATCCATATTTTGAACAGTTTATATTTGTCTGTTAATTCATTTTGAAAATAAATATATGTCAATAGTTGGGCATAACCTTTGTTGACCCCTAGCTATGCCAATTATTCGGTTTTCATAATCATGTCAATAATTTAATAATTTTATGTCAACAAAAAATATATTTAACTTTTGTTGCTTTTCAAATTTATGACTTAATAATTTAATAAGATTTATTTCTATAAATAAATTGTCGCAAATTAATATTTGAAATAGTATTAGCTTCGATGCGAAGCGGAGAAGGTATTAATTTTACTATGATGTGTTTTTTTTTTTTTTTTTTTTTTTTTTTTTTTTTTTTTTTTTTT